TGGTCTTGGGTTCGAGTGGTGAGGGAGGCGAAAGAAATCTCCTTAAGGGGGGGAGAGATATCCTGCCATGCAGTGTGATCATGGCCGGCCACCTGTGTGGGGCCGTTACAATTAATTAACGTGGCTATGGAGTTTCTTTCTCTGTTGAGATTTTGTGTTCTGTAATTTGTACTTGAAATTTAGGAGCTTGAAGATCAATCATTCTAAGGCAACAGAGATGCAGGGATAAAATCACTTAACCACTATAATACTACCTAAATTCCTATTCTTTTTTATTGAGCTGTCCAATAAAAATTCCTGATATACATAACACGGAACAACATCTCAATATCCTAACAACTTTAACTAATAAATAATGAACTCAAAAGCTTCCCAATTTGTTATCTCTGACTACCAATTCATAACATAATTCTTGTCCAACAGGTTAACCACATTGTTTGTTAGCAACAAAACTCTCACAAGCCAAAACACAAACATGTTATGCGCATATAAATTCAAACACACATACACATTTCTTAAAATAAAAGTCCTGTCTGGGCTTTGCACACAATACTCAAAGATCACAATGCCCAGCACCAGCACAGATATATAAAATCAAATCCATCACAAATAAACCTAGAGCTAACTTGATAACCACTTTTTATACAATAATTAATCAGTATACACATCAGAGAGTATAAGGATATAGAGTTCATTTATGGTTAAATAAAATTCAAAAATAAAATTAAAAGAAAGAAATGGAAATTACCTTAAGAAATTGGAGTGCTTTAGTGTCTTCTTCTAGATTCCAAGGATCACGCTTCACCAAACAAATTTAAAGCAAAAAGAACTGAAGTTTTTGCCTTGATCTGAAGTGAGTGGACAGAGAGCAAGAGCAGACGAAGATCGTGAGAAGGGAAGAAAGAAAATGAAAATTTTTGCCCTAATCTGAAGTTTTTATATGTGGCAGGTAAATTACAAAAACCCCCCACTCTTTAATAATATTTCATTTCAGTCCCGGTTCTCGGTTCCTGTTTTGGTTCTTGACTATAGGAACCAGAACCATACAGTGTTGGTTCCAGATTTTTGGAACCAGAACCTACCCGTTGACTATCGGTTCTAGGTAGGAACCAGAACCAAACCCCAGGTACCCAACAGTTTCCGTTCCGAACGGTTCTTTTGAACACCCCTAACAACCACTAAAATGGCTATAAATCGAAGTCTGCAAACAAGTCGAAAGTTGAATGTTTTCGATGTCACAAGTATGGCCATTATAAGTTTGAGTGTCAAACTAATTTGAATAAACAATGTGGAGAAAGATCTAATTTTGCAGAGAAAGAAGAAGTTGTTTCCCTCTTGATGATGTGTCATGCGAATCAAGGCACCCACCAAAAGTTGTGGTATATAGATACTGGCTACAGCAATCATATGTGTGGGGACAAGTTAGCGTTCTCAGACTTGGATGAAACATTTTGCAACTTTGTAACTTTTGGCGACAACTCCAAATTTTCTGTCATGGGCAAAGGAAGTGTACGAATTCATTCCAAAGAAAAATTTGATCAGATTATTTCTAATGCCTTTTTTGTTCCAGGCTTTAAAACCAATTTGCTTAGTGTTGGTCAGCTTCAAGAGAAGGGATACAAGATTTTTATTAAAGATGAAGTTTGTCGCATCCAAGATGAGAAATTAGGCTTAATTGCTCAAGTCAACATGACTACAAATCGAATGTTCCCACTGTATCTAAACAACACTACTCAGAATTGTTTCTCTGCAAAATTGATGGATGAGGGATGGTTGTGGCATTTTCGCTATGGACATCTGAATTTTGGTGAATTAAAGACACTACAACAGAAGAACATGGTGACTGGACTTCCACGAATTCAGACTCCTTCTCAAATTTGTGAAGAATGTGTTGTTGGTAAACAGCATCGAGTGAAGAAGGTGTTGGAGCGAAGAAGGTGTTGGAGCTAGTTCACTCTGATATATGCGGACCCATTAATCCAACATCGAATGGTGGTAAACGTTACTTTATAACGTTCATTGATGATTATAGTCGGAAAACTTGGGTTTATTTTTTACAGGAGAAATCTGAAGCTTTTTCAGCTTTCAAAAGCTTTAAGATGCTGGTCGAAAAAGAAGCAGGCAAACCTATTAAGATTTTTCGCAGCAATCGTGGTGGAGAATACGCCTCACACAAATTTGTAAATTTTTGTGAGAACCATGGTATTCAAAAGCAACTTACAGCAACATATTCGCCACAGCAAAACTGCGTTTCAGAAAGAAGAACCATACAATTCTAAACATGGTGCGGACTATTCTGTCCAAAGGTCATATCCCAAGAAGTTTTTGGCCTGAAGCAGTCGTCTGGAGCATTCACATTTTGAACAGAAGTCCTACTCTAGCTGTTCAAAACATGACACCTGAAGAAGCATGGAATGGACGCAAACCAGGTGTCAACCACTTCAGAATCTTTGGTTGGATCAAAAGAGGAAAAGGCTTGATGACAAGGGAGAAAAATGCATTTTTCTTGGTGTTAGTGAGATGTCAAAAGCATACAAATTGTACAATCCTATCACCAAGAAAATTGTCATTAGTCGTGACGTAATTTTTGATGAAGTAAGATCTGGAAATAGGATGAAAACACTACCAAACAACAAATACAAGCTGATTTTGATGGTGAAAATGAAGAAGAAAGGCAGCAGCCCTTACAACAACAAATTCCTGCAATTTTTTTTCCTGAAATTCCACCAAATGAAGCTCCAACTTCAGTTGAAACTTCACCACCAGCAGTAGAATTTGATGAGCATGTTGATGCAGCAGTAAGTTCATTTTCCCAACGTGTTAGAAAGAGGCCAATATGGATGCAAGATTATAAGGTAACTGGGATTGATCAATCTAAGGATCCACTTACTCATTTTGCTCTATTTTCAGATTGTGATCCTACAGTTTTTGAAGATGCCGTCAAAGAATCGAAATGGAAGAAGGAAATGGATGATGAAATTACTGCCATTGAAAAGAACAACACAGGGGAACTGACTGATCTTCCTAAAGGGCACAAGACTATAGGTGTCAAGTGGATTTACAAAACAAAGCTGAAGGAGAATGGAGAAGTTGACAAGTACAAGGCGCGCTTGGTAGCCAAGGGCTATAAGCAAAAATTTGGTGTTGATTACAAAGAAGTGTTTGCTCCGCTTGTAAGGCATGACACAATCAGATTGGTGATTGCATTGGCAGCTCAAAACTCATGGCCTATTTTCTACTTGGATGTGAAATCTGCATTTCTACAAGGAGACTTACAAGAACAAGTATTTATTGATCAACCTCCTGGTTATGTGAAGCTAGGTAATTAGAATAAGGTGTATAAGTTGAAAAAGGTTCTATATGGGCTGAAACAAGCTCCAAGAGCTTGGTACAACCATATAGGTGTTTATTTTTTGAATGAAGGTTTTAGAAGATGTCCATATGAGCATACTCTTTTTATTAAAATTGAAGATGGAGGAAGTATGTTTTTTGTATATTAGTGAATTTGAAATGTCTGATCTTGGAATGCTGCATTATTTTCTTGGCATTGAAATTGTTCAATCAGCTACTGAAATTTTTATTTCTCAAAAGAAGTATGTGCGAGAAATTTTAGATAGGTTTCGATGAAGAATTGCAATTCGGTGAATACACCAACTGAGTTTGGTTTGAAGCTAAATAAAGATCATAAAGGAAAGGAGGTTGATGGAACTCTTTACAAGCAGATTGTGGGAAGTTTATTGTATTTAAAAGCAACAAGGCCAGATATAATGTATTCAGTGAGTCTCATCAGCATATGCATGGAGAATCCGACAGAGATGCATTTGCTAGCTGCCAAAAGGATACTATGGTACTTGCAAAGGACTAAGGAATTTGGGTTGTTCTACAAGAAGGGAGAGAAGTCAAACTTGATTGGTTTTACTGACAGCGATTATGCAGGGGATCAAGATGATAGAAAAAGTACTTCAGGCTATGTTTTTATCCTTGGTTCAGGGGTTGTTTCATGGTCATCAAAGGAACAATCAATCGTCACTCTATCAACTACTGAAGCAAAGTTCGTTGCTGCCAATTCATGCACATGTCAAGCCATATGGTTGAATAGAATTCTTGAAGAGCTTCATTTCAAGACACAAGGGCCTACTACAATTTTTTGTGACAACACTTCAGCAATCAAAATCTCAAAAAATCCTGTTCTACATGGGAGAAGTAAGCACATAGATGTGAAGTTTCACTTCCTAAGAGATCTTACAAAGGTTGGAATAATTGAGCTCATCTATTGTAGAAGTGAAGATCAACTTGCAGATATATTCACAAAGCCTCTAAAATTTCCTTCGTTTCTGAAGTTAAGAGAATTGTTGGGTGTTTGTACGCTAGATATTTGAGAGACTTGTGAGTTTTTTGTTTTGTTTTTGAATTGTGTATTAAACTGAATGTTTGAACATCAGTTTAAAGGAGGGATTGTTGAAAAAGAGTTTGTTTGCTAGTTGTTGTCCTAGTCTTTTGGGAACTTGTTGTGTTCAGCAAGTTAGCTTTTTTTTTTTCATTTACTTAGTGTGTAGGTGTTAGTTTTGGCATATTGTGTAGTGCCTATTTTCTTGCTTTTATTCGTTATGTATAAGCCTATATAAAGGCAGTTCTTTTTGTTGAATAAATACACAGACAATTACTTTCTCCTATTTACTTTTGTCCTTTAGTTTTTATTAAAAGCCTGTCCTCTTTTACTTGTTTAAGTAGAAACACTACTTTTTCTCTTCTTTATTTGTAACAATAATTATATTCTTATGTTATTCATCTTGAATGTATGTTTTTTGTTGCGCGATCTCCAAACAAATAACCAATTAACAACCGATGACTAGACTTGAATTCTACTTTAGAATTTAAAATGTCATTATTGTGAGGTGAGATAGTAAAATACGATTTAATATTGTGAATTGATAGTATATAGTTTTACTAAGATCAATGCGAGATGCTAATAATTAATGATTCAAGTTATAGTCATAATTGATAAACAAGTGTTGGCAAGTACTATAAGCTTAATTATTCGACTTATATTTGGCTGGCTTCTCAGTCCTCGCTCATAGCCGAGAACTGGTCACACGCTGATAGGCATCAGCTTCAATTTTATTGTAAGCTTCCGAATCACAGCCCAGAAGTGTTGCCATGTAAAAGCTCATCATAATTAAGCTTTGGCAAGAAACTCTTTTGCAATCCTCCCATTGCCACCGTCAGGAAAAAATCCACCCGCTTTGTATTCACTACCACTTCCATATACTATCCTTAAAATCTCTTGCGGATTTCGCGCATACGATAGAGAATAAACATCTGCCGATAAGATGTTACTTTCTGTCTTGTTCTCGGCACCAAGTTTTAGTGGCACTATTAGTCCTTCATCTCTGATACCACACATGGCCAGCCGATTCCTAAGGTCGGAGATATAGTTAGTGAACTCAGCCACTGTGATGTCGTAAGGTAACACCCTTTCATCAGCTTTCTCATATAGTAACGCTCGCAATATTGCATCTTGTCCAGATTCCACTCCCAAAAGCCCCGCAACTAACTATATAAATGTGTAAAAGGTGAAAATGTATGTTATATACGAGGTTCTTGAGTGAAATAATCAAAATATACAGAAGTAACACAGAGATAGAGGTTTCTACTTCTTACTCTTCGAGAAGTGTAGCTGAGAAGTTGCGGTATAGCGCCAACATAACCTACAAGTCCTACATAAGGAATAGCGTAGGATGCTAAGAGATAGTTGATTGTATTCACATATGGGTTGAATGGAGGATCCAATTTGAAACCAACTGCTTGGTCAAATAGGTTGGCAAAATTTTGAGGGCTGAGATCCAACAGAGGCCTTGGGAATCCACCAATGGTTGTTATAATTGATCTGAAATGCCCCTGACATCAGTTATTAACAAGAAGCTAGTTCAAAATTAATTAAAATTAATATTGCAATAGCATTTGTTTGTTGCTAAATTAATTAATTATTATAAATGATTACCCAATATCCTATATTATTCATGACAAAAAACTGTTTGAAAAGGAGGAAAGTGAAAACACGACCTGAGATGACCAACTTCCTGGTAACCGAATTCCTCTATGATTCGATTGGTAAGGTCGTCAAGGTCGGCCTTTCTGGCGCCAATAGGAGGAGGACCGCCCTCTGCCAGCTCTGGAGCTATAGAGTCAAGACCATTGCCAAGTGCAGCAATCAGGAAAAATTCAGCTTCTAAGAATTCCAAGTTGAGAGCCACATGAACAAGATCCTTATCATCAGCTTCAATTGGACCACAATAAGGATCACCACTGACCATGACCATACCCATATTCATACTCAGAAGTAACGCAGACAGAAAATATGAAGTAGCCATTATTTCCTTTAAATTCATATCTAACCAAACGATCAGCTACTGATTCAGATTTATAAGTGCACGCTTGAGGGAGCCATAAGTTGCTTTTATAGACACAAGTCCTGTGGGTTAGAGAAGAGAGTCAATGAAATTGCAGGAATATCACGTGATCAATCTATATATTATAAGTTGATAAATTTAGTATATGATTTGCTTAAAGTATTTGTGCTGGATAATAAACAGTATGTACATACTTTCAGGCATGGTTACTGTCTGGTTAGTTTAATTAAGCTCCATAACATTTTGATAATCTCATAATCATACAAGTAGATAAATTTCTATCCTCAACTTAAAAGATATTACAATACGAATCATTACCATATTATATTATGAACTATTATTTATTTAACTAATTATCAAGTATAAACTAACTTGATATTTGCTGTACAAATCAACCGAAAATAATCCATATCTGTGAAAAAAAGTATGACGATGTACAGCGACACGATTTTTCAACGACGAAACTTAATTAAAGAGTGTATACTGTTTTTAAACTTGGTATGAAATCTAGATTAAGTTTTCATATAAAATATGGTTCCATGAATTATAGCAGGAAAATGTCATGAATGGATTAGCGTAATTAGGGTCATTAGAGCTCTTGTAAAGCGGGGGTCTACCCACTTTGCGTTACCAATTAGTAGTTTAATATAAGTTGGTGATAAAAGTAGCAAATTCACAACTAATCTTTGACATATATCTTTCCATGTCACTCTTATTTAAGTCACACTTCCTGGATTAAGACATTAAGTAAAGCCAACAATACAATGTGAGATTATAATACGAAGATGACTAGAGAGAAATGAATATGATTCTAATTTTCCTTGTATTAGATTGATGTTCTTTTCAAGTGAGTGTTTTCGGTTAGAGTAGTTGTAACTGATATGCTGCCCTTCAAGTGGGATTTACCCAATATTAGTTACTAAAGTTAATTATTTATTCAAATTATCATGGTTGGACTTGTGGAGATTTACTTAAAGAAAAGATGCTTCTAAAATATCAGGGATTAGATAAAAATATAAAATTAAGCTCGCTTATATTACTTATCTTAACCGTAGTTGAACCCTATAAACAGCAAAAAAAATTAGTATCCTTCATAAATGGGCTTTTATGGAAACATGATATGAGCCCAACAAACGAATTAAGCCTGAGGCCTACAGCCCATTGCAAAGCCTTCAAAGACTACGCAACCTGGCCTGGACCTGTTCATAGGAAAGCCCACAGGCCCCTGGTAAAGCAAACTCTAATTAAAATGTTAAAAGTAATTTCTCCTGCATAACTAGCAATTTCGGATGGGATCGTCTGAGCGACAGCTTTGCTGTCATCAGAAAGATTAGGTGGTTCAAATACCAACTGCAGCCTAAGAGTATAGACCCGTAACTTAATCGCAAACGATGTACACCTGGCTTCCCGGATTGATTTGGCACTGATTCGGTCCTGGATCATGCTATTCGATGAATTTAACAGCTGGTGCAGATTTAAACACGCCCTGGCCTTTTTGTCTCAACATGTCCTTACTGGGAATTGTTGAACAACTATGTTGGGTTCATACATAACGTGGGAGAATAATGAGAGAAATCTTCCCTGCATTTTGGATTACGACAAATCAATAACCAATCAAACTACGAGATAAGCTGATATGGTAAGCTGTTATAGGATTTCTATATATACATCAAAAAACGATTCCTTATCAATCCAATTAAAAATATATTTTATTATCAAGATTTTATTCTTATTTATACATCTTTATTTATATTCTTTGTGTTGCTGTTCTAAGGTATAGCTATCTCCTACGAATCGTTTATCGATAACAGGTGATTTTCTAAGTTTACTACTGGTAAAAGAAAACAAAAAATTACTTTTCATATTCTTCTTTGTACTCACTTGATTGTCAATTGAAAGGTTGAGATGATACTTCGAAATATCTGAAAATAAATCTTTATCTTTCAAGCATACTTGCAAAATTGCTAAAAATCAGTCTCATTAATAGGACTACAGATATTTTTAATATAGCTAGCATAAATGGACACACAATGTAAAGTAAATTCCATTTATACGCAACACAGGAAAAGTTGAGGATGACCTGTATATTTCCATGGAAAGGTTTTCTTTGATTATTACACTAGCCAAACTAGGTAACACGCTTATTTTACAGGTTTAATATGTTGGCCGATAATACATACATATAATATTTGAACAAATATATTTAATAAACCCTCATCAGCCAAAGTTTTCATGAACCATTAGACATTGATTCCAAGATCCAAAAGTTGTTTATGCAACTTGATGGTGAGTAATTCATTTCAATGTTCACAATCACAGATTATGTGTGACTCCATGATCCCAAGAACATCATAGTTCTGATGGGATCTTCTGCACGATAGCTGGGCTTTCGTCTCTCGTTTCTTCTTGTAAATGAAGGGTTATGCCCTCCTTCAATCCCATCTCCAGCCACAGCAACCCTGGCCGCTTTCAGAGCCTCCCTAAGCTTTTCTCCGATCGTTCTCTTTGAATCCTGATGATGATCACCGGAGACGTGTTGGTGTTTCATCCTTGCCTGTCAAAAGATAAGGATGTTTAGTAATTTGGCTAAGATATTAGAACTATGAGTGGAGAGTTGAGTGGATATATATACAGAAACAACACCAAGGAGTCAGAATAACCTGCCAAAATTCTATTCGGTGGTAGGCCCAAGTTGTCTCATCGGAATGGGTGAGATTCTTTAAAGTTGTGGATGACAGATGAGATTGATAATTTTTAGTTGAATGGTGTCCCAACTTTATATCTTTTCATTTATTGGTTTACTTTTTTCATTTAATTTTGTCCTGGCTAGTTATGGACGATATGATATGCAATTAGAAATTAGTCTGTCAATAAGAAATTTTGATAAGAATCTGAAACTGCAACATGAACCACTTTAATTATTCGAAATCCTATGGAACGTGTGCTAATCTTGCTATTATGCTTCGAATTTAATAAGATGCCCCTTTAAGTTCGAATTTCTTTTTAAAAGGCTCAGATTCCAGATGCCGCATGTGAGAAGTTGCCATGTTGTTTACAAGGAATCAAAGAACAATGAAACTAGTAAAGTTTAGAATCTGTATGAAGTTGAAATAAGATGCTAACTTCACATCCTAATTGTGTTTGTGGCTGATAGTCGATCTGGCCAGGGCACCTGGAAAATGAGGACAAGGCCATCACAGAAACGTGTAATTAACTCTACCGAGCTTGAACGGTTGCCATATCAATGTCCCTCTTCTCGAGTCAAGACTCAAGACTCTTCAGTAAGGTTTCTTTTTCGTTTAACTCGACTATATTGTTAGAATCGGAAGAAATATATACTTGTTGATGCATGATTTAGACACCAACGATTGGTACATACAAAGTGTTAAGACTTTCTTAAAAATTACATGTGAATGATTATAATTAGATACAAAGACTTGAATAATAAATGAGAGATATGATTTTTAAAATAGTTCAAATGCTTAAAACGAATCCTACGTTTACTGTTTCCTTTATATACGAGAGATTACAAGAGGTCACGTATAACGAACAACGAACAGAGGTACAATAACTGAATATTTAGAGAGAATATCAAATCAGTTTCTTTCTCGTAAGTTATCTTTACTCTGAAAATAAATATTACAATCAGAATGAGGGTTCAATATCAGAATCCCGAAAATGAGAGGAGAAGTCATTTATTTACAATAGAATAATTCAAGGTAATGATTACAAATCTGCAAGTGGATAGGTGTCGTGCAAGTGCTTCCTTGTCTCTCACTGACTGATAACTTAAGAAATATTCTCAAATTATCTGGGGTTTAGACAGTTGTGCGGTCCTCAGTCACTCATAGACAAAACCTGAATCTGCTAAGTTGGTAACAGTCATATTCTTTCTGTCTTGGAGCAACATGATAGCTCTTAGACAACGCAAAGCCTTCCTGAACTCTGATTCGTACTTACTACTATAGGATAACATCAGGCTTTATTTTTTAGGCATAACAATACTCTACCGTGCAAGCCAATGAATATATATATATATATATATATATTCATATTCTCAATTAGAAGGCAGGATATCACGGTACATACAGGAAGTATATCTTGATTCAAATTTTTCGCTCATCAGGAACAAGAGATGATGCTTCAGAATTTTGTGGGTTAAAAATCGATCGGCTTTCAGATCTGTATATCCTACTCGTTTAAAAGCGCAATAAAGAAAATCAAAACCTCACTCCAACAATACCCGTTACTAAGGCCCCCCTGGATAAGTTTAGGATTGGGCCTCGACAAGGAGCGACCCAGCTCTTGAAAAATCATTGGCCCCAACTCAAGCAACACCGCCTGAACAACTCAACACTTCCTCTTTAATTATACATAGGGTCAAATTATGGTAATAAAAACAAAATTAATTATAAATACTTTATATGAAACATATTTTAGTCATTGATTTTACATAATTCCATTGATTCAGAAGTAGATGAAAAATAATCTCCTTAGAGTTCTTTCTCTAATCCATTAAATTGCATTGGATCAACAAAAAAAATTGGTGTTACAATAACCTCAATTATAGATATAATTACTTCTTTTACTTTTCAATTATATATATATGTATATCACAGAGAAAATAATAAAGAGGTGTGAAAGGGCCTGGCTGATATTCATGTTATTCCAGAATATGTAACTGGTAATCGGTAATGTGACATGAAATTTTTTGGCATTGAGAAAAAAACAAAAAAAAAAAATGTTACCTTGAAAGAGATGGGTTTGGTTGGGAAGTAACTAAACTAGGTGATAGCAATGGGGGTGTAATCCAACACCTCCTCAACCTTATCTACGACTAACCAGACTTCAAGTTTTGGTGTTGGTGACATTATAAAAATATATTGATGTACAATCTTTTGTCGGATGAATTATATGTGGTTGCACTATAAATCTTTATTTTCCACCAACTTTTTTAATTATTACAGTGAAGACACTGTTTTTTTTTTTTTTTTTTGTTTTAATACAAAAAAAATTTCTAAAAGAAAAGGCACTAATTCTTTTCAGTAAATGCAATTTTGTTTCAATTGTGACTTGTGAGACCCATTTACAATTTTTTTTTGGGAGAGCGACCTTTTCCCACCCAAGGTTTGGTAAAACGACACTTTTCCACCTATTAAGTTTCAAAATGACACTTTTTCCATCCATCAAGTTTCAAAATGACACTTTTCCACCCACCGTTATGCTTTGTTAAGAAAATCTGCTCTCTGACACGGTAAAAACAATGTAAAATCGAAAATACCCTTCTCTTATATTCTTTTCTTTCTTCTCCACCTCTGATTCCAGTTGCGGTTCTGACCGATCGCAACTGCCTTCTCACCGCTAACATCTCACACAAATCCACACACAACATCATCACCCTTATCCAAATCAACACAAAACAACATCATCCAAATTAAAAAAAAATTTAAAAATTAAAAAAACTAAAAAAAAATGGCTGGAATCTTCTCACCTTCTGAAAAGTATCCGACCAGATTCTAAGCATTCTTCAACCTTGTCTTGATCTTTCACTCCATTTGAAATCGATTCAAGCAAATGGGATAATTTCGGTTTCAAAAATTCAACACCTGGATTTTTACCAACGTGATCTAAAAATGCAAGCATTACAATAAAAGTGACACGAAAATGAACGGCAAGAATATTGAGTGACAAAGCTATTGCATGCGCCCATGGCTAGAGAAAATCATAAATGACCAAATCGGGGTTTAGTTTTTTCAAGATTTGGTGGAAATCAGGAGCAACCATGTCAAAAGCTTTCTTGAGAGTGGCATGAGTTGGAGTGGTAGGCCTTTTGGTGGGTGATAGTGAGGATGAAGGTCAGGTGATGAAGGAAGATGAAGGTGGATGATTGGCAGAGGTGGAGGATTTTGGGGCGATGGGATAGGGTGGGGAAGAAAGTAAATGGGATTGAATTATTTTTTATTTTATTTTTTTAGTTTACATAAAATGACATAATTGCCTTTAATAGTTTTTTGAAATTACTATTATGTCCTCCTTCAGTTAAACTTAACGGACAGATTTTAACATGGGTGGGAAAGTGTCGTTTTGAAACTTGATGGGTGGGAAAGTGTCATTCAATTAAACCTTGGGTGGGAAAAAGTTCTTCTCCTTTTTTTTTTTTTTTTTGGTTAATAATGAGTGTGTTTGGACCAACTTGCGCGTACCTCGACTAATCTTAGAATCCATTAAACACCATACAAGCTTAATATTTCAAGATAAATTACAAATTTGATAATTGATCTCAAGATTATTTGAACTTAAGAAGTTAATGAAGGAAACAAAAATTTATTGATGCGCCAACTTCTTAGGATTCCCGTTTACATATTTACTTGACAGTTTTTCTTTTATTCCATCTCAGCACCCTAGTTTTTGGAGACTATATCCTTTTAAGTTCTAAATATCTTAGTTGTTAGATTTCAATAGCTTGTTGAATTAGATGAGAAGAGAAGGACGATGTATAATAACAAAAAAAAAAAAAAGGAGTGGTTTGGTCGGTCACAGGCTGAACATACATGAAATTCATACGCTTTTGAGCTTACAAGATTCCCTTTTTCAATCTTTTCCTTCATCATGAATAGTTCACATTTGCTGTCCTGGTGCATCTTACTCTCACATCACAAATCTCACAATATCTCCATTTGTACATCTTGTTCCTCCCCATTGGACCCATTTTTTTGTCCTCGATCTCAATTTTCACTCTAATTTCTTTTGGTTTTCTTTCAATAATTGATGCTCTTCGTTATTACACTAAAACTGGTAAATTTTTTCAAGGAAAAGAGGTATTGAATTGTGAGTTCAACTCGATAAAAAAAAAAAAGATAATTTAAAGGTAAAGCAATTAATTTCTAGGTCATGGAATCAGTAATAATATGCTTACAATTACAAAGGGTTATTGATATGATACTGGGCAGAAGAGACAAAATGTTTATGTTTTCTAGATTGCAAGGGGACCCCCAAAACTCAATAACTACCCTGTTTGCATCTAAAGATGAAAGGTTTAACTTTACAATGTTTCATTGTAATAATCAATTGGAATAAAGTAAGGCAACTTATATTAATATATGGTTCAAATGTTTTTATCAATTTTGTTGTATAATTATGATATATATATTCTCTTTGACCAGTCCCAGAATCAAAACCATAGAGTTTTCTAGAATATGATGTTTTTACGATAAACTAACAAGTTGGCGTAAGTTGAGGATATTGTGAAGTTTCTGGTCTGGTACGTGATGAAGATTGAAGAATATAATATATGTAAAAGGATAAGTATATGCGTTCCTTCTTTTTTCAAGACATAATATCAAAGCAGGTATAATCCACTCTGAATATTCTAAAGTTTATAAAAGTTGTGAATGGGATGAAAAATATCTGTTTCCAGGGCATTTAAGCTTCTGCATCTTAATTTTTATCTTTTATTTTATTTATATGTTTACGATATCTGGTTATGTATCAGATCCTGAGAGCATTTTTGGATTTAACTCACTTTTATCACAGACAACCGTCTCCTGGTTTCTGCAAAAGAATCACTACTACTACTGCTCACCAAAATCTGTGAACTTAATTTAAAACAGGAAACAACTGGGGATATATAGAAGTTCTCATTTACTGGCCCCATCCCATCAATTGGCTAAGTGTGTTGAAGACTTAAAAAAAAGTGAAAGAAAAAAAGTGAAATCAAGCGCACCAAACTAGCTTTCTATTGAAAGTGGGAGCCCTACTAATTTCCTCGAATTGAAAGCAAAAAGACACCGATCCACGTACAGAGATCGATGATGTTTTAACCAAAGAAAGAGATTGCTTTGTAAAAAGATGACTTTAAGCATTCCCCAAGGAAGATGGCAACATAATAATTGGCAACAATTGCCCAGACTGATCATTTATGCATCTGAGTCTGTAAACAATTATATTTTGTTCTACCTAATTTTATATAGCTACCATACTTCTTCCCTCAGACCCATCTTTTCTGAATATACTTGCATACTTGATAAGAGAGAAAGTTGAACAATAAACAAATGAATATAGCTTTACTTTACACATAAGAGAGATGAAAAGTGAGATTTTTTCAGGACCTACAACTACAACAAACGACCAAAACCTTACAACATAATAACATACAAGAACAGGCTTGACCCGCTTAATTAATTAACCAAACTCCAATTAATTATCAACTAATTAAACAAGCTAAATAAAGACAAACCAAAACTAAAAACCCTCCAAATCCCATAACAAACCTTTTTATTTCTCCCTAGTTACAAGACCTGCTAGATATATTGCATCTTACAAAATTAAACCTCTCTCTCTCCATCCCCAATACATTTATGATTTATGCTAGTTTATTAACCAATATATATGTATAACCCCTTGTTGCATATCGCTCAATGTTGGGTCACATAATAGAGCATAAAGCTTCGTTATCATCATCGTGATGATCACCATAGAACTTATGGATTGGATCAGACGGTGGAAAGGGCATGTATCTGGGTGGTTGGGAGTATGAATAAGCATGCATGGCAGGGGCATAGTACGATGTATTAGCAGTAGGATACGATGTATTGTAACTTACTCCATACATTGGAGTTGGAGGAGGATAATACATAGGTGGTGGATGGGGATATCCTTGGTGATTTGGAGGGTCGATTTTTGGGGGACCCAGATTCTTCTTGGCCATAGATGGAATCGGTTCGAGAGTATCCATAGGAGAACCAGCTGGGTCTGGGCCTGCAGCTGCAGTTGCATCGCCAACATTTTCACTGCCGCCATTACCCGTTTGTCCTTTCTTCTTCTTCTTTTTCTTGCCACCACCTCCACCAGCAGCAGTTTCCTCCTTGCTTTCACCACCGTTTATGTCAGCACTTTCCTGTGGGTTGTCACCGGAAATGGCGTTTTCAGGCTTTTCAGGTGTATCCTGTTTATCATCATCATCCCCATGAATTTCCTGACCATCTTTAGCTTCCTTTTGTTTGTCATTCTTCTTGGGCTTTTCGGGTTTTTTCTCCTTCTTCGTTTCAGGCATTTGTGGCCAGAGCTCGGCGTGTTTTCCTGATCTCAAGAGCTTCTTAATAAGAGTCTCTGCGTCAACGTTGCCAGCCACTGTAACCTTATGTTGCTGTGAATCTACGAGGGTGGTATAGACACCTGAAAGATAAGAAAGTGATTTATGTAATGAACTCATACTAGAAATTTAATAATGACTTAAAGAAATATATGAACACTAATAAAGACGAGAGTAGAAGAAATATCTTATACCATCAATGCCTTTAAGAACTTTGTTAACTTTCTTCTTGCAGCCTTCGCAGTGGATAAAAACTTTCAAGACCCATGTCTGTAAAACACAATAGAGATTTGAGTTAAAGAGAGAAAGCCATGAACTGTTTTTGTACAATTGAATATTACTAAGAAGATACAACTCACCTGGTATTTCAGTGGCTGTGAAGTTTCTTCAGCTGGTTTTGTAGCCATGTCGCAAAGAGAGAGAGAGAGAGAGCTTAATGGCTTGAAAGTGGAGAGGAAGGAAATGGAAAGCTTTGAGTTTTTGAGCAAAGGTTAAAGTCTTAAAAGGAAAATGAAGCAAGGGAGTAATAGTTTAATAAAAAGAACGAGAAAGGATTTGGTGCGCATGCCACGTCATCCCGATGGGATCTCTTTTTATTATATTTAACTAATTTTTAAAAGATTAAATAAACAGAAGATCAAAATCCAACTTGTTATTTATACTCAAGTTAATTAAAGAATGAAATGGAGTACAATTGAATTTAAAGTTTATTGGAGAATAAATTAGAACGTCCCATCCATTAAGGAAATGATTAATACAATTAAATATGTATTAGGCAGAAAAGAAAGTAAATAAAATGAAGTTAAAAAACCATTTTCATGGTGGGATCCGTATGGTAAGAGACATTTTTCTTTAAATTATCAAATTGAACTGGGTGAGAGTAAGACGTCACATTCTTTAAATTATCAATAGTACATTAGAGCATCAACTGAGCTAGGTAGCCACCAAATTTGAATCCAAGAAGTAATGGAAGCGAGAGCATGAACCCTTGTGGTTAGATTTTATTTATTATTCCTAAATAGTTTTATATAGTTATTCCAAGCCCAAATCAAATTACATTAAAAACAAAAAAAATCATTAAATAGTCAAACAAGAAAAATAATTAACATGACAATTATAAATTAATCATAAGAGGATAGTTTGATGATAAAAAAACAAAAAAAATGTTTCATGAGCTTTTGAATTCAAGTCTCTTATTACTAATTGGGTGGTTAGAAAATCGGAGGGCTTTTATATTCCTGCATCATAGTCAGTCTCTACTAACTCGGTTCAATGAAGGTTAATTATAATCTGCTGCCAATGTTATATAAACTTGCAAGTTACATTACTCTTTTGCATTAATGTTCTCAGCCTGAGCCAACGCTGTTGTGTCAGTTGCCCAGTTGCCCTAAAGAGTAAACCCTCCCATTGATGGGCTTCTCCTACTTTCAGTAATTACAGACAACTGGGGCAGGGAATCCAAGCGTTCGTCAAAATTCAATGAGTCTGAAAAGGCCAAGGCAATTTCGTGTCTTTTAAAGGGACTCCGGACTCTTAAATCTTGGCTAATAATTATTATAAAAAAACCCAAAAAAAATAAAAATACGAGTAGAGGACTAGCGCGTTCAAATTCCTCACCATCATAGAAGTAAGAGTAAACGACATTTTCCCACCCAAGGTTTGGCGAATCTACAGTTCTCACTCCTAGTTTCATATATTATAGATTCTCACCCTTAAATTAATAGATAATTGTTTAATCTAAACGTGGTAAGATGATCATTTCAAAGATAAAAAATTTAAAATAACCCTTCACTTCTCAAATTCATCCCACCAAAAAATTTTAAAATAACCCTTCACTTCTCTAATTCACCCCACCAACAATTTCAAGCAATTTCGACATATTTCCAGCACAATCGACCCCTCTTGACACTACCATTACAATCTCCTCAACCCTCACATTAAAGCCCCTCACCTCCCTGCCTGATTGAACCTCTCAATCACTAGCCGTCGCTTTTAGTGTCAATCATCATTTCATCCAAATTCCGGCAAGTCCCGACATCGAAAACCACCCCTAAGACCATCAATAGCATCATCGACTTCCCCCCACCAAACCCCCCAACATTTCCAACTGCAACTACCCACTGGTCGCCATCGCCTCTCCCTTAGGTTTTGCATTTTTTCGTCCCTTTCTAGTCAAATTCCGGCACCTCACCGAAGTGCAATCAGGTGGAAAAGTTAGGGGTTTTGGTGAGGAGGATAAGGGGATGCTAATGGTGATGTCGGGGAAGTCCAATGGTGCCGGAATCAAGCCGGATTCTTGGCTTGGCCGGGATCCTCTGGGGGTTATTTGAGAGAAATTTGAGATGTAGGGGTTATTTAAAGAAATAAGTAACGACACTAATTTAAGGATGAGAATCTGTAATTTATGAAATAGGGGTGGGAACTTGAAGATTCGCCAAACCTTGGGTGGGAAAATGTCGTTTACTCTTGAATTAAAGCAGCAATCCAATTGTGGTCATTTTAATATCATTCCACCTAATTCGTCAGAAAGTTATAGTAATCCAACAATCCAATTCATTTGTGAAATTATTGTTGCGTGGAAAATAAACTGACCATTATCTGTGGTATTTTCCTTGCAGAATATTATTCATTACTGTATAGTTATGGTATCAGTATTCTATTCTCGAGAGAAGTCGAGTAGTAACTGACTTTAGCCTGAATAATGAACGCCACCCAATTTTACAATGAGGTTGTTGAACTCCACCAACAGCACCAGACATGTTCAGATTGCCTCTTGGGGGCTAAATTTATGTCTGACGGTGCCTGTTTCAGTTTCTGGCCTTCTGAGTTTATGGCTGATGACTCCATATAAGTTACACCACATCTACCCAAATTAAATTGTTACCTTGAGGCCTGAGTAGCAGATGCAAATCATAAATTCGCATCATACTTTCTGTTTACTTAATGAAAGGTGGATCAAAGTCAAAACTCAAAACAGAATTGTGATAAACTTCTGTATAGACTTACTCCTTTATCACTTTCAACATCAGATCAACTTATATAATTGAATAAAAGTTCTCTTTCAGGGCAAAACATAACCAAATGCTGAAGTAAAATAAGCGCATTGGTATAATATAATATTATAGCCACCAAGTGCTTGCCAACTCCGGGCTGATATAGAAAAAACAGTTTATTAAATGAAGCAGCAACTACGTACTAGTAGTTATCTGGTAATGCTATCCAGTGGTAAGCCTCCATAAGGCAAAAGCAGAATTCGAAAAAGATGGCAATCAACATTATCAAGCAAAAGAGAAGAAAACAAAAATATTACCACTAACCATTCTATCTAGCTTTGAATAAACCAATGGCTTTTACAAGTTAATTGAGAAGTGACAACACTTGCCACTACCAATCTTTATTGCTTTATTTTCTTTTCATATCGTTAAAAGTATATAGAACAGTCAACCAAATTGTAAAAAGAAATTAATAAAAGTCTCATCCCACATTCTGTAATGACTTTGAAATCGCTTGGATCACTTAGAACTGGAACAACAATCCTTTTACTTTCCAACAAAAGGAATTTTTTTAAAATCAACTGGTTTTAAATAAAATCCAACTTGGATTCGACCAACTGAACCAGCTGCTGAGGGTACAGCGGTAACGAAAATGGCTACCTGTGGATGATTCTCTTATGTAAAAACCAATAAAAACTAGAGTATTTCGATAAAATTAGTCTCAGGTCAGTGTGGAGTAGTACTCTTTCCTATTAATGCTCCGGCCAAGTGTTGCATCAAATGTTTTCAGTTGCTAACTTCGGTAATTGACTTACCACAACAAAATATTTCAATCCTCAAAAGATTTTCTTGGTCAGATCAGATACAACATTTTAATCTTTCAAATTCCCACATGAACCTCATTAACATCTACCCACTTACAAAGAAATGATTCAGCAGTATCGCATTTATTTATTTTAAAAAAAGTTCATTTAAGAACTTAGGATCCAATGCCAAGAGTTACTAATTGATAAAACCTGCTGGAATGAACCGCAAATAGTTTTAGATTAAATTACAATGAAAAATCTTGAGTTTTATAAGTTTGAGATAATCATAAGTTGCTAAAAGTCTTTCTGCATATAAGAACACCTACAATAACAGAAGCGAGAGCTGAAAAAGCTCCCTGCCTCGAAAGCCAGAATTCAGTCCATGTCAAGGGTCTTGTGACCTGGAATAATACTTTCCGGAACTGTTCACTCAAATCATCCAGTGATCCATTATTATCAATCACAATATCTGCCTTGCTCCTTTTTATGTCCAATGGCATCTGAGCATTTATCCTATTTCTGGCATCCTCCTCACTTGTCCCGTCTCTTCCCACAAGCCGTCGAAGTTGTGTTTCAGGATCAACCCATACAACAATAATGGGCTTCGTCCACTTATCCATTTTGGCCTCAAATAACAAAGGTATATCAAGAACGATAACCTTGAATCCCTTTATCCACAGCTTCAGAATCTCAAAAAAGATGCCAGAGGAGATATAAGGAGCCAATATCCTACAAAACGATGAAAACTGATGAAAATTTGGAATTCTGTAACAAATAATTGATGGAACCCCCTGACAGTGCATTATCAAGAAAACCCACCAAAAACAGATAAATAATATCATATAACATCTTTCAGGAATACAATAAGAGTAATATTATATTCACAACATCTTCTCACAAACTTTCTCCCACAATCCTTTTTTTTTTTTTCTTTTTTGTTTAGTCTCATTACTGATCCCACCTGCCCATTTGCGAGCTAACCAATCGCATGGTATTACGTCAAGTTGTAAGAGAATATTTATGAGAAGAGTTTGTAAACGTAGTATTTTTTATGCAATAAAATTCCTTTATCTCACTAAGACAAGGCCAAATAAAAAGACCAGAAATTCAAATGTATGGCTCCATGATCAGTAGAAAATTTCACTTTTTGCTTAATATTGCCACAGAAGTTCTCAATAATCCCTCACATGATTATGAATTTAATTAACTGAAGCAATCCCAGCTGAAACAAATCCTAATAGACATTACACCATTCAACACCAAGGAGAACTACAAATTAGACAATTGCAATTTGAAGCCAAACATTGATATAAGAATTCAATTAATATAAAAAAATTAAATGGCAATGAATTCCCCACATAATTACAATCAAAACAATTAATCCTTTAGAAAAAAGAATAGTTATGACACAAAAGACTATGATCACGGACTCACGGTCATATTACCATGTATGCACGACATCAATTCAGAATCAATGAGCAGCCTTTAAAACTTTGTTTTGGACACAAACAAACAAATAAAACGATACCGGTTAAGAAGTTGGCGCTTGCCAGGATCAGAGAATACAATTTGCCCTAGTTTTGGCCTATCCACTTCTCCATTAGCTAATAAAATCTCCTCTCCAAAACTTGCAACAACCTTTTTCCAACCACCGGTGCCTTTCTTTAATACATCCTGCAATACAAATCAAGATCATTCAATCTTCACAAATTTCCCGATTTTTCTTTGTAAATTTTGTATAAGTTTTTTGTAATTGAAATTACAGTAGTTCAACAATATAAAAATCGAGAACTAAAACTGTAATATAAATTCTTAAAATCCTGAGTAAGATAATTAAACACACAAAAATAAAGCATAGGGTAGAAAGTTAATGAGGTTCAGCGTGTGTGCAAAGTAAGAATGAGAATGAAAAGGAATAGAAATTACACGAGCGACGAGGTCGGCGTCAACAACGGGTATGTCATTGGCCTTGAAGAGGTTGGAGACCGTACTCTTCCCCGATGCAATTCCGCCTGTCAGTCCTAATAGTCTCATTTTCCCCCTCTTGTTGCCTCCGCCTTTGCTGTTACCTTCGCCTTCTTTTATGGTTTCCAGTAGCCTTATTTAATTATAATAAATTAGAAAATTTTAACACAAAAAGCGCATCTGGTGTAGTGGTATCATAGTACCCTCCCACGGTACTGACCGGGGTTCGATTCCCCGGATGCGCAACTTTTACTATTTTTAATTTTACGCTTTTTTTTTTTGGGACAGGTCTCGGAAATCTTCCACTCTTTCCTTGGCAGCGGGTTTAGAACATCTCCGCACTTCTGATTGGCAGGAGTTTAGAACACCTTTTTATTGTTTTGGATTTAGAGCATCTTTGCACCTCTAATTGGCAGGGGTTTAGAACATCTTCACTCTTCAAGCAGATGTCTTGACAGTTCAAAGTACTGAAATTTGAAGGATCTGCAACGTACCTATGATAGTGATGCCGCAGCTTAACATCATACCTAGCAGGATTATCTATTTCTTAACCAATTGCACTTCCCCTAATCACATTTACCAAATTCAAGCTCAAATGATGCTCCAAAACTATCACTATAACTCAACAATTGCCTCCTACTTTATAACTGCTTGCCAATCTCTAAACCTCTTAAACACAGCCCACCATGTCTTCCGCCGACTCTATAAACCCCATGTTTTCATTTGCAACTCTCTCATTAGAGCATTTTGTCACTCCCAAACCCCTTACATCCCTTATTCAATATACACCCACATGCTCAAAAACTCAATTTTGCCTAATAACCACACCTTTCCTTTTGTGCTCAAGTCTTTGTCTGACTTTAAGGAGTTTAGAAAAGGGCAGATGATGCATACCCACGTTGTAGAATTGGGTCATGTTAATGATATTTATGTCCAAAATTCGTTACTGAATGTCTATGCATCGTGTGGTGATATAGACTTGTGTCGGAAAGTGTTTGAAGAAATGACTCAAAGAGATGTTGTGTCGTGGACTTCATTGATTACGGGCTATAGAATTGTTAAAAAGTATGGTGACGCATTGATTGCTTTTGAGCAAATGCAATACGCAGGTGTGGAGCCTAGTTGTGCTACGATGGTGAATGCCTTGGCTGCGTGTGCAAAATTCAGTGCCATTGAAATGGGTATTTGGATACATGATTTTATGAAGAGGAGACGGTGGGAATTAAATGTAAATTTGGGGACTGCGTTGGTTGATATGTATGCAAGCTGTGGGAGGATTGAAGAAGGGTTAAAAGTTTTCCAAGGCATGAAAGAGAAGAATGAAATTACGTGGAATGCGGTTATTAAGGGGCTAGCTCTTGTTAAGAGCGGAGAGGAGGCAGTTTGGTGGTTCAATCGAATGGAGCAAGAAGGGTATAAGGTCGATGATGTCACCTTGGTTAGCGTGCTTTGTGCTTGTAGCCACTCAGGTTTGGTAGATATTGGGCGAGAGATTTTTAGTTCATTGATTGATGGGAAGTATGGATTTCCACCAGGTGTGAAACATTATGCGTGCATGATTGACCTATTTGCACGAGCTGGTTTTCTTAAAGATGCTTTCAAGTTTATAACAGAAATGCCTTTTGAGCCTACTAAGTCTATGTGGGGATCGTTGCTTGCTGGATGCAGAGATCAGGGGAGTTTGGAATTGAGTGAGTTTGTCACTAAGAAGCTTTTGGAATTGGAGCCAGATAATGGTGCTTATTATGTTGTGTTATCTAATCTGTATGCACAGATGGGAAGATGGAGTGATGCTGAAAAGGTCCGGGAGTTGATGAAAGTCAGGGGACTGAAGAAGGACCTAGGGTCTAGTTTTCTAGAGACAGGACCCCAGGAAATTGTTTATGAACTATCGGAACAATAAGTCTCATTTCATTTCCATTCAGAGACAAAGTAATAGGTTTTCTTTCAGTAGAGGAGTTTGTTTACATTTAATTGGCTAATTAAGCGGACACCTACAGTTACTATAAAGGGGTTATGTTCTGTTTCTGCTTTCCCAGCATCCAGCTGATTGGTCAATTTTGTTCTTTGTTACTGCCTATAGGAAGCATTGAAGCATGTCCATTTGTATTTTGAATTGAAGAAACCTATTTCAACCTTTGATCAATTATCAGCATCATCACTGCAAAAGGTACTCATTTACAGATAATGATTTGAAATCTTTTGATACTGATAAGTTATTTGTGCATTTTGACCCAAAATTAAGTGGGAACTAATCACATTCCCTCCGGTAAAGAATGTGCAATTTTTGTAGTTATATAATCTGAATTTCAGGGCATGATTGTGAAATCTGAGAAATAAATGTCAAATCACTTTGTCTTGCTTCCTAAAGAAAAAGAGGGGAACGAAGGAGGACCTGTTTTTGTGGTAGAATCTGGACTGCAGGAAATGTTTATTAACTTTAGACTATTGGAATTTTGCATGATAAATTCCATTTGCATTTGCATGTAGATAGAAATCGATTGAGAAGAGTTGTTTGTATTGTTTTGTACTTAAGTCAAGGTAACAACTTAATTGGCAGTATTTTTTCGAAGCTGAGGTCCCTAATCTACTCATCACAGACTGCATTGAGAGACTGATCTTATTAACTCATATCAAGCATTAATACCTAACAAGGAGTTGCAGCATGTATGGACGCAATGGATTTGCTTGTGAATCCTACAATCCATTTCTACGTTTCAACCATTAAATAACATCCTAAGTTACATCACAGTTAATAACTATTTTAAAGTGTCAAAGCAAGATTTTGATAGATAGTTGTAGTATCACTCAAAGTAAGTTGATGATGTTCGAAAAGTTTAACTCTGCTTTTACTTATCTGTTATCCAGTGGGACATACGATAGGTAAGAACTGTCTTTGAGCAGGCAATCTATTAGATCCCTCCTGGGAGATCTTGCTCTCTTTTAGCATACAAATATAAGTATAATTCAGGCTATTAACAGGAAAGACAAACTTCTGTTCTTGTTATGATGTTTTATTATAAATAATCTCACAAGTCACTTGTGCCAAAGTTTGAATCTCCACATAGGCTTATTATCTCAAAACGGAAGACAATTATAGTTGTCTTACACAGTAGATTCAACAAAAACTTCAAGCAGTACACAAAATATCTATTGTGGTGGTCCAGTGATATGCAGGGGCTAAATGCCTAAATATCTATTTCTTCAGCATGGCAACAACCTTAGACCAAGCTGGTCTAGATAAGATATTTGCAACCCAAGCACTAACATGACTCATGAGGGCGTAAGTCAAACAGCTTTTCGACTGGTGTCCCCATCAAGTAATGTTAACGAGGTAGGTGATTCATATCCGCTAAGGTGAAGCAATCACAGGCCAAATACTTGGACTGGGCCAATCGAGCCTCCTAGATATCTAACACCTTCGCCAGCTTAGCTTCATTCTCTTCAACCACAGCTGGATCAATAGTCATGCCAAGCATTGGCTTAAATACTAGTTACCAGTTCAGTTTTGATGCCACAGGCTCGAACTGGTGTGCTTCCGCCTCCGTCCATATGAAATGCCTGGGCATGTTAACTGGGTGCCCTTGTCACCATACTCCAAGGCGATGTATTGGGTAATATTTGGGTGCATAGTAGAAGTAAAAGTAGTAGCAGCAGTGCCATGAAAGTGGAGAAGGAAAACAAACTTGTGAAAAGGGCAGACTTATGCATACTCGTGTAAAATATGGTTGTGTTAATGATATTTTTGTCCAAATTTCGTTACTGAATTTCTGCGCATCATGTGGTGATGGACCTGTGTCGAAAAGTGTTTGAAGGAATGACTAAAAGAGATTTTGTGTCGTGAATTGTGTTGATAAGCCTATAGTCAATAGAAGTGTTCAAAAGTATGATGATGCATTGATTACTTCTGAACAAATGCAATACGCAGACGCAGGTCTGGAGCCCAATGTGATTGCCTTGGATTCGTGTGCAAGTTTCTGTGCCATTGAAATGGGTATTTGGATACATGATTTTAAAAAGAGGAGAGGATGGGATTTGGATGTAATTGTGGGTACCGCTTTGGTTGATATGTATGGAAGATGTCGGAGGATTGAAGAAGGATTAAGACTTTTCCAAGGAATGAAAGAGAAGATTGAACTTACGCCGAATGCGGATATTAAAGGGCTAGCTCTTGGTAAGAGAGGCGAGGAAGCAGTTTGGGTGGTTCTAATGAAATGGAGCAATAAGGGTATAATGCTGTGAAGTGACCTTGGTTGTTGTGCTTGTCCCCATTCCGGATTGGTAGATATTGGGCAAGAGATTTTTAGTTCATTTACAAGAAGAGTCGCGGCAAGTATGGAAGCAATGATGTATTAATTTTGAAATCATACAGGCCTGTTTCGATGTTCTACTGTCAATTAGCATCCTGAGCTGCATCACAGATGATACATATTAATAGTGTCAAAACAAGATTTTGGTAAATAGTTGTTGTGTTGTCAACACGAAGTAAGTTGACAGTGTTTACAAACTAGAACTCTGCTTTAATTCACTTCTCTTTACCAAATGCGAAATAAAATCGGTAAGATCTGTCTTTGGCAAGGCAATTTGTTATATTCCTCCTCGTTTTACCTACAAAGATCAGTGTAATTCATCTGTTTACAGGAAATACAAGATTCGGATGGCATATATTGTTTTGTTTTATTATAATTATTCTCACAAGTCACTTAGTCCACAAAGTCTGATTATCCCAAAGTGTACGACAACTATAGTTGTCTTAGACAATTGGTACAATACAAGCTTCAAGCAGTACGCAAACGCTTCAATAGTCACAAGACACACACCAAAACAAAATAAAAACTCCCGAAAACACTGCCTTTATATTATGAGAGACAAGAGACCGTCAAGTGGCTAAATGCCCAAATATCTATTGCTTCTGCATGGCAACGACCTTAGACCAAGCTGGTCTAGATGAGATATTTGCAGCCCATGCACTAACATGCGGGCGTGAATCGAACAGTTTTTTGACTGGTGTCCCCATCAAGTAATGTAAATTAGGGAGGTGATGCATATCTGCTAAGGTGAAGCAGTCACAGGCCAAGTACTTGGACTGAGCCAATCGAGCCTCGTAGATGTCTAACACCTTGCCCAGCTTAGCTTCATTCTCTTCAACCACAGCTGGATCCGTAGTCGTGCCATACATTGGCTTATATACTAGTTCCCAGATCAATTTTGATGCTACAGGATCGAATTGGTGTGCTTCAACCTCCTTCCATACAAAAAGCGGAGCCAAAGGCTTGCCTGGGCATGTTAACTGAGTGCCCTTGTCAGCATACTCCTCAGCGATGTATTGGGTAATTGCCCTTGATTCTGCGGAACAAAATTTGAAAACATTGAGTAAACGCCAGTCATATTCATACAAACATTAGTAAGAAAGTCATTTGTTAATTATATTTACCGAATAGCTTTTGGTCTCCAACTTCTACTGCTGGGATTTGACCAAATGGCTGGCAACATCAACCGCACAAAACTTCGTTAGATTGAAGAAGAAATTTCACATGGATGTAGGTAAGACATGAATTAACCCACATAAAAGGACTTTTTCTTTTATCATAAAACAAGTCAACAAAATGGCTGACTAATTAGCATAATTTCAGTGCTGTTTGATGTATTGAACAACTAGCCAAGCAGGCATAAAAGCTTTTACTTGATATTATACTTACATTGAGGGAAAGGAATGTTTCCGATTTGTGTTGACCAGCTTTCATGTCTACGGGAACAAACTGGAAATCAAGATCCTTCTCGTAAAGGCATGCAAAAACACGCATTGAAGCTGTTGAGAGAACGGCACCGTGGACCTTCAAGACTGCCATGGTTTTTGTGATTAAACCGACAGGTTAATGGTTAACGATGGATGAGGCTGAAAGCAGAGGAAGCAGGCGTTTATAAAGGAAGGAGACGTGATGCTTTAAAATTCTAGAGTACTCTTCTACGTTATACAAATATTAAATATGTTTGTCCTGGGGGAAAAGGACGCTAGATGCCTACCCCATTCGTGGGAAAAATCTTCATTTAGATTAAATAATTGATAGCTCTATACCTAGTATTGTCATTTCATCTTTGTTTTGTTCACTAGCGTTAGTAGCACGTGTAAACGAAGATTTTTTCCACGAATGGGGCCATTTCATCTTTGTTTTGCTCACTAGCATCAGTAGCATGAGTAAACAACTTTTCCCACCCACGGTTTGACCTAATAACCTTTTCCCACCCGCCAAGTCTCATAATGACATTTTCACACCCTCCGTTATAATTTGTCTATTAATTTTAACTGCAGAATAATAGAATCATAAATTCAGTTTACTTTTATTTTTTCTTATCTTTTAAATATTAAAATATTTTAAAAATTATATAAATAAATAAAAATTTTGAAAATAGAAAAAGCAGAAATCGGTCGGCAAGTTATCGACCAACTGGTGTTGGCGATTCTTAGAACCGTCGAAAGTGACCAGTCTAGTGCCCCTGTCGGCGCTCTCTTTGCTCCCTCCGATGTCGCCTTCGTTGCCTCTGACCAACCCTCGCTCTTCCTCCTCCAACTTCACTTATCCCCTCTCTTTCTCACTCCCCACTCCCTGAAAACCCAACCTTGCAACTCGTTTCCCTTGTCTACAAATGCCAACAATGATTCCAGCAATTACTCTTAAATTCCAACAATGGAAATAGTATAATTTGTATTTCGTTGATTGTTAGAATCATCGACTCAATTTGCTTTGATGAGTAAACATATTAAACTCTCTCTCTTTACCATCACAATCAGCTTCTAGTTTCAATAATTGCAACAATTACTCTTAAATTTTGCAGTTGTTTCTCCATTGATGATGTCCAAATCATTGACACAAATCAGAATTTTATATAATTTTCTTCTTAATTTGTTGAGTGTCTCACCAAAGGCAACTGGACCCAATTGCTAAAGCAAAAGCAAAAGCAAAAGGGGTCAAATGAATGGTGGTTGACGATGATTCCTCCTTCTGTCTCTTTATTAAAAGAGAAAAAAGTAAGTCGTAGTTGACGGTAAAATAAGAAAAGAGAGGCAAGAGAAGAAAAGAAAGAGGGAAGAGAGAATCTGAACCCAGCCAGACATCAAACCATAAAACGCATTTGTTTTCCATCACCAATTAACCTAACCATTTAGAACCTAACTGCATGTAAGGAGCCAGCTGCCTCATCTTCCTCCATAGACAAGATCCATTTTAAGAGAAGTAAAACTACGCATACAACATTTCTCATACAATATTATGTGACAAAATATAATTAGTTGATTTTAAATTAAAAATAAACTTTCACCTAATTATCTTTTGCCACATAATGTTGTATGATAAATAGTGCATAAAAATATTGTGTATGTAATATTATGTTTTTGAGAGAGGTGAGGATACCATAGAGGAAACCTTCTAAAGTAACGATGCTTCATCCACCGAGCCTAAAGTGTAAATCACGGTTGAGCTCACCAAGTCAACTTTATTTACAGACAAGCATCATTAAGATCTTGCATTTTTTGCACAATCCAAGGCCACCTTCAGATTTAGGCTTGCAAACGGAGTCCCAATTGACCAAATTGGCTTTTAGTTTTCCTTAAGAAGAGGATAAAATAACAAAGTTAACCTTTGACTATTTTTAAGATGATTATTCTATCCTTATACAGTTAAAATTAACGGACAAATTGTAAGGGAGGGTAGGAAAATATCATTATGAAACTTGATGGATGAGAAAGTGTCGTTAGGCCAAACCTTAGGTGGGAGCTTTTAAAAGATCACTCCATCTTCCCATCTGTGTCAATGTAACCTATGTCCTTTACTCGTGAGAGCGACATGAGGATGACACATAAAATCTTTGGTAATCCACAACAAAAGTCATGCTCGCCTTTGTAGACTAGTAAAACTCTATAAACTTTTATTTTTTTAACAATTTACATTAAACTCCCTTTTATTAACTGAAGCACTTAAGAATTCAAAGAAAATCGGAGACTGGGAGTCATGTCAGTTTGAAGTGAATGAATAAAGTCGAGTTCAATTGAAGGCGTAGCTTTGGGTCGTGGATTCGTGGGGTTGGGGTCATATATTGGTGGTGTATATATATACAGGGCGGATCCAGCCACTTTTTTGGTGGGTCATGACCCACTTGTAAATTTTTTTTTTTAATATTAATATATATAATTTATATATTTTGGTCCACTCTAATAAAAATATTAATAGATAAAAATATTAATGTATAATTAATTTTTATTTTAGTCCACCCAAAAAATTTTTTTTGGATCTGCTACTATATATATATATATAACGTGGTAGGAGCATAGTTTACATAAATATATCTAAAATTGAATTCATACATTATTTAATTACAACATACATCAGATATGTTTTAAAATTATTATAAAACAAGACCTGTATGGTTGAGTCAATCATCTATGTACAATTTTAGCATTATCTAGGGGTCACTTAGACATAAATAAACATGGTGGCCGGTGGGTACATGAGACTTGAGAGAGTGGTGTTATTTAAGTCTTACTCAATCTCTTTCTAATAGTTTTTTGAAAAATTCTATATTTTTTAAACTTGCAATTACTGAAAAGGATAATTAATCTTTTAATACACCCCAAATATTAAAAATTAAACATTAATCTCTTTTACATATTTGGATTTTATTTTTAAGATTAAAAGTATTTTGAAATGATGAAGGATGATTTCAACCAATGGAAAGATATAACCATGAAAAACCAAGTTTTTACTTTTTTTCAAATTATTTTTGGTCTGATATTTTTGTTTCTTTGTGGAAAAAAAAAAAAAAAAAAGTCACGAAAACAAGAAGCACATTCGTTTGGATTCTTGTATAATTTAGTGACCACACGGGCTATACTATAATGATTCGGACCTTGATTTTTCTTGTACTATTCTATTCAATAATTGCCACGAAGAAGGTTTATGAGTTTAATTTGTTAGTATTGTTTAATTTCTTTAATTTATTATGGCTGATCTTGTTTGACCATTCTTTGTGCCTCATGGGGTCCATTTTCGATCATGTTGGAGACGGAGAGTGATGCTTTCAGCTTAATCTATACTACTCTGCCACATCTTTGGCTCAAGCCTTATCCGAACAGCGCTCCCATCACCCTCTTCTTGCAGCAAATGGTTCTCCTTGACAGCTTTGAAAACATTATTCCCTCTTTCTGTCGCTCTATCAACAAAGGAGGAACCTAACATAGTGGAGTATTATTTGGAGTTAAATATAATTCCATGTAGGTATTAAAGAAGAAATATATGATGATTATTTTGAAAGAATATATAGATTGAGATTAAACCCGAAATGAAAAAATCTAGAAAATAGATAATCAGGTTAACTAAGAGATTTAGGAAAAAAATATCAAAAAAGGTTAATCTTTCAATAAAATATAATAATTTTAATAATTATTGAAGCTGAGAAAAAGACTGAGTGGGGCACTCAATAAAATAACTATATTGATATTTGTTTTAAGATGGGAAAAGTTAAAGCTTGATATTATTCTTCTTTGTCTTTCCTTTTTCTTTTTTAATTCGTTTAGATAGCCTCACCATGTGAAGTTGTTTATTAAATTACATACTTTTAGTTTTAAATTAGAAGAAAATCAACTTTTTTTTAATATTATACTCTTTTATATTATTTTTCTTTCCTTATTACCACATTCTAGGGATTCATCATGCTACACGTTACCAACAACATTTATCATTATGAAGGCCTAAAATAACATACTGCAGCCTTAATCTTATTATATATATTTGTGGGTAAGTTTTGGATATAAATGAGGGGTAAAAATGTATATATTTTCTTAATTAGAACATTTAACATACATTTTTGAAACAAAATTTATCAAGCATTCTTAATTTCTACACTTGAACAATATACATGTAAAATTAATTATTTTGCTGAAATTACAAATAAAACATCTTTCCAAATGTTATTTATTTTATTTCCAATTAATCTTAGGGGGTGTGGTGGAAGTAAAAGTAATAGTTGCAACAGTACCACAGAAGTGGAAAAGGAAAACAACATTGAAGACTGAGTTTTGCAGTAATTGTCATGAACGAGAACGACCAAGTATTAGACTATTATTTTCTTCGAGTAACATTATTTGAGGATTAAAAGTACAGTTTCCTGTTTTTGGTTATGGTAGCTATGTTTAGAGCAATACATGAAGGGTGTATTTCGACTTACGAGTAGTATGATAACTTGGCACGGCCCTTATAATGAAAATAAACAAACTAATGGCCAATATAGAGAGATTGGGGCTGCTTAAATGTTTAACCTACTTTTTTTTTTCAAACAAAAAGTAACAGCAACTACATTCAATAGTTTTTTTCTAAAAAAAAAATCGAAAAAACAAAATGAATGGTTATTAAGTATTACGATATAAGTTGAATTTTGAGTTAAATCTGAAATATCAAATTTTAAATTGGACGATATTTCATCCTTTATCATAATCAAGACTGAAAATGAAACAGTATGAAATGACAGCTTAAGAATCTTATGGGCATGATGATGTAGTAAAATGGTTTGATGGTCCAGTGGGATGAAACCCATTAGATGTAACCGTAAAGACAGTAGAGTGTAGAGACAAGGGAAGTGGCTGACTGCAACTGTAACGCAGTGTTGATACATGCCGAAATTCGATTAAGATAGTTGACTGCGGACAGCTCCGAATTCAAGCCCAGGGTAAGAGGTTAATTAAGCTTAAGCCACGACGCTCTTCGGAAAATTTCAGTAATCGTCATATTACCTTATTGCTTTCCAATCTGAACAAGTGTATAGCCTGAAATAAATAATAGAAAGAACAAATAAATTAAATTATTAATTGATGTATAAATGATCAATATTATGTCTTTCATTTATTAGCAAAATAATAACAGTCGCTTTTAAGCGCATCCTCTAATACATTTTCATTGCGTGCAATTTCTTAGAAGGACCAATAAGAACTTGTATATACTCATGAAATGGATGAAGAGAAAAACAAGAAGTCAAGAACAAAGCAGCGCAAAATTTCTTGTTTATTCCACTACATTAAGGTAATTAACAACAAATAAACCATAACAAATTGTTAAAAGTTGTTGAAAAAGACTAGAATAGAAGTCGAACAGCCCTACAATTATCAATCACCGCCAAACTTCATACCCTCGGCCACTTTTTTGAAAGCTGGCCTAGAAGTAATATCCTCCCACCAAGCCTTCACATGGGGACGTTCATTTATAAGTGAAGCAAAAGGAGTCTTCATGAAATAATAAGTGTAAGAAAGATGGTGCAAATCAGCCAAGCTATAGAAATCTCCTGCAAGATACTTGGTGCTACTGAGCTTAGTCTCGTACACGTCAAGCACTTGCCCTAGCTTCACTAAGTTTGCATCAATGATGGCTTGATCTGGTGTTTTGCCTTGTGTCGGCGCCACATAGAATTGGTACACAATCGAAGACATGGGTGGGTGGAATTGTTGCGATTCAACTTCGAGCCATACCTTTACCAATGCCGCTTCTTTCAGGTCTTTGTGCCTCAAAAGATCAGTGCCGGTTTCCTTGAATTTTTCAGCAACGTATGATGTGATTGCTCTAGATTCTAGCATATATAACAGTTAAGTTTATGAGGGTTTCGTTCAAAAATAAAATGATTGAATGAGTTACATGAGAGAAGGAAGAAATTAAGGCTTACCAAATAAAGTGAGATCATTGTCTTCTAGAGCTGGAATCTGACCAAAGGGCTGCCCTAACCAAAAAGAGATTTTAATTAGAAAAATCTCTTGTCCAATATCTACCAATCCGGACTGGGGACAAGCAACATTAACCAAGGTCACTTCGTCAGCATTATACCCTTATTGTTCCATTTCATTAGAACCACCCAAACTGCCTCCTCTCCTCTCTTACCAAGAGCTAGCCCTTTAATATCCGCAGTCGGCGTAAGTTCAATCTTCTCTTTAATTCCTTAGAAAACTCTTGATCCTTCTTCAATCCTCCCACTTTATTTCATTGATTGATGGGAAGTATGGCTTTTCACCGAGTGTTGATCATTATGCGTGCATGATTGCCCATTTGCACGAGCTGGTTTTCTTGAAGACGCTTTCATGTTGACAGAAATGCCTATTTCAGTCTACTAAGTCTATGTGGGGATTATTGCTTGCTGGATGCAGAGATCGGGGATTTTTGGAATTGAGTGAGTTTGTGATTTGGAAGCTTTTGTAATTGGAGCCAGATAATAGCGCTTATTTTGTTGTGCTATGCACAGATGGGAAGATGGAGTGATGTTTAAAAGTTCTGGGAGTCGATGAAAGAGAGGGGACTGAGAAGGACCTAGGCTCTAGTTCTCTAGTAATTACAGGACCCCCAAGTGCTTATGATTCGTATTAACTGTTATCAAGCATTAATTCCATTTCCCTACAAGAAGAGTCGCAGCAAGTATGGAAGCAATGATGTATAATTTTGAATCATACAAGCCTGTTTCGATGTTCTACCATCAATTAGCATCCTGAGCTGCATCACAGATGATACATATCTAATAATGTCAAAACAACGATTTTGGTAAATAGTTGTTGTGTTGTCACCACAAAGTAAATTGACAATGTTCACAAACTAGAACTCTGCTTTAATTCACATCTATTACCAAATTGGAAATAAAATCGGTAAGATCTGTCTTTGGGAAGGCAATTTGTTATATTCCTCTTCGTTTTACCTACAAATATCAGCGTAATTCATCTGTTTACAGGAAATACAAGATTCGGATGGCAAATATTGTTTTGTTTTATTATAATTATTCTCATAAGTCACTTAGTCCACAAAGTCTAATCATCCCAAAGTGTATGACAACTATAGTTGTCTTAGACAATTGGTAGTTTGGTACGATACAAGCTTCAAGCAGTACACAAACGCTTCAATATTCAGACACACACTAAAAACATAATAAAAACTCCCGAAAACACTGCCTTTATATTATGACAGACAAGAGACCGTCAAGTGGTGTGCAGTGGCTAAATGCCCAAATATCTATTGCTTCTGCATGGCAACGACCTTAGACCAAGCTGGTCTAGATGAGATATTTGCAGCCCATGCACTAACATNATTAAATATCAAAAACCCTTTTGAGTTGGGGATATCTCTTAAGGGTACATGAATTTCGGAGAGCATTAAATATTCCCTAAAAATAAAAACTTCTACAAATATCAAAAACCCTATTGAGCATGGCATTGAGGAGCTTGAACAATAGTTTAGTCCTACTGCGATGTAGCGTTTTATGTCGTTATTGGCATCTTTCACAACATCAATTTCGTTTAAAAAACAATCAAAGAATAGCGAATTTGCAATGTCTCCGCACGTCGATATAAACATTATATACCGACATTGTTCAAAGAATAGCGAATTTACAGTGTCTCCTCACGTCAATGTAGACATTATATACCAACATTATCTCTAACAAACCTCGTCGATACATTGAAGTTTTTATATGATCAACACTTGAGAAGTAGCTATTTTTGAACAGGCGAATGAAATTAATTCATATGTTGATAGAAATATAACTATTTATGTAAATGATTGATATGATTTAAAGTTTAAATTAATGATTAAAAATGAAATGAGAATGACCTTAATGGGATATTAGTAAACAGTAATTTCACCTAATCACTGGTCGTCTTTTCAAACTCAAAAATATATAATTCTAAGGTTTGACAAACTGCCATTAATGATCCTTTGTTCCTTGAACGTAAAGGAAGATTCATTGGAACAACAATGCTCCACATCTCTCTTTCTCTTTCTCACATAATTAATTAATATTATTATCATAAACTAACCTTGATTAAGCTTAATTAATTACACCCTCTTCTTCTCTTCAGTCTCATGAAAGCAAACACTCCCTCCTTGATTCCTCCCTCTCCAATTATATTTCTTTAGCTGCTTTACCTCATTTAAGCAGCTGTCAATTCTATTCTTCTTCTTCTAAACTTCTTCTCCATGCACTCTCTTCTTCTCTTCACTTCTTCTTCTCCTTTTCTCTTTCGCCATGGCCACCAAGTTCCCACAGATCTTTAGTATTATTCTCTCGCTCTCTCTTTTTCTTTTTCTTCTATTCTTTCATAGCTTCAACTCCATTTATGTTTTTCATCACAACACTTTGACCAACACCAAAGTTTCTGCACCTTCCAAATTCGACTTCACTCCATTTCTCTCCCACCACCACCACTACAACCACAACCACAGACACCACCGGAAACACTTGCCCTCGAAGCCGAAAACGGCCGGAGAAGACGTCATCGACCCGCTATACGGCGTAGAAAAACGGCTAGTTCCAACCGGGCCTAACCCGTTACACCATTGAGATATATATATATAGAGAGAGAGGTTTTTAATTCTTCTTCGATCATCATCACTAAGTGCTGTAACTTTGTTCAAAGTGTTCATGTATTAATTTTTGCAATTATTATATATATGATTATTTACCCTAATCATTCATTTTTCTTCTCATTATTCATCACCAGAAGAAAAGAAGAGATCATAAACAACGGCGTCGTCGTCCTGTATGATTATATTCCCATACTTGTTTAGAGATTGATGAGATAGCTTAGATTCATACTTTCATTTGGATCAAACTGTATGTGTTATGTGAATAAGTAAATTAAATATTTATTAATTGCTTTTGTTCTCATTGAATCGTATGCATGCTTGATCATGCAAATAATTTATGTTTATTTTATTTGAGTTCATTCTGGTGCATGTGTAGAAGAAACACAGGAGTGGCTGTGACGGCACGGCATGTTACTGAAACCAGAATTTCAGCAACAATGGCTGTGAGAAACATTATAATATTAATAATCTGATTCTAATAGATTATAATTCGTATGCATAGCAAGGCTATATTAATTACGATTAAGGGTTGACTTAGAGAGATAATTGCATTAATCTATATTTATATATATTTTTTAATCTAAATAATAGCAGTAAGAGAACCATTACGGAATGGTTGGATGGTATAAGAGTAAAAAGAGGTTTTATGAGCTCTTAAATTTAAGTTTTCACAGTCCTTAATAGAAGTAGCCTGAGGGGCTTAACCGGTCATCAATTTCAGGGCTCTAAGGGATTATCTAAGGTGTTTATAAACCGGTAATTTAGACATCCCCGGTCATCAAAAGATTCTCAATAAGTAAGTGTGTGAACAATTTCCGAGTAGATTGAAGTTGATCAAATGGTGTGTTTGTTGTACTTAAAAAACTTTAACCCTTCGGTTTCAATTTCATATTCAAAATTTCAACGTGGGGTTGGTATTAATTAGTTCAAGAAAAGTAAAAATGTCAACCTACTTTCTCAAACTATCTCCATGGACTTTCCTTTATATTTTGGCTAATCCAGCTTTCACATTTGCTTTAATCTCATTTGGGATTGAATTAATTAATTAACCATATATGTCATTTCAATTGAAATTCTCACTAAACATTTAAACGATAAAGTCAGTGTTGAATGTATTGCAATAAATCAAATTTATAAAAGTGATTCGAAAAGGGGCCCCATTTAATTTAATTTAATTTAATCTCTTAAAACCCCTGTGATTATCAGAAATCCCCAGTCTCAAGAGGGGATTTTCAAAGACTCAAACATGCTTCAAATTAAAGGATCTCGTAGAACTATAGGCTATATGAAATTTAGTTGATATAAAATATTAAATTTACATATGGAGAAAGCATCAAAATTTTGAAGAATCTGAAAGCACAAGTGTTGAGTTAGACATGTATTCCTGTTCCAATGGTGCTGCACTATTACTTGGCTTATTGCTTTTGACTTTAAAATTAGTGACAACACCACTTATAATGCCTGGGAATTTTCCTCTCTTCTTTGGCCAGCAATGGTGGGGAAACAACTCATCAACACAAATTTAGTGAAGAAAACAGAGGTACTACACGACAATTGCCGATAAATAACATGTAATGATGTTTTGATAATTATAAATAATAATAAAACTCGTATTATCGAAATGTCTTTACTATGTATACATTGATTACCACTTGTATTTGTAATGATTTAAAAGCACCACAATTGCACTACCCACACAAATTATTCACACTCTGAATTTAGATTTTGAGAGGCAATTGCCAATTCATTCACATATACCTTAGACTTTTCTCAAAGCTTCATTCGGAAAGTACCAGCCCAAAAAACTTGCACCCTTCAGGCGTGATTATTAGTATCCTACGTATTCGATATGTATCATATGATATGATTCGATACGGATTACCAACGATACAAATCGATACGATTTATTAATTTTGGCCGAAGGCTCAAAAAAAAATTTGAGAGGCAATTGCCAATTCATTCACATTTACCTCAGACTTTTCTCAAAAGCTTCATTCGGAAAGTATAAGCCCAAAAAACTTGCACCCTTAAAGTTCATTAGGCCCGTCAACCCATTTGGGCACAAAATTCACGGGTTAAATGAGCCATCTCAACTTGTACTGCACATCTAGTCCATCCTTGTGGCCCAATAGGCCCATCTTTACCCAGATACGAAACTAAAGCATATATGTTTCTTCTGTATATAAACAGCCCAGATACAGATTTTTTGTACCTTCAGAATCCAACTGAATTTATGAAAGATATTTATATAGCTTTTGACCAAATCACCTGTCTAACTTTTTTTTCTTTAAAAATAAAATAAAATTGAAATATCAATTAAATACAAAATTAATATAGGATAACTTGATTAGAGCATCTCCAATGAACCTTTTTATATGATCCAAAATCTTTATTATAAAGAGTCTATCTATAAAAACAAAAGTCCAACGGACAATTTATCCTTTAAATATAAATTAAAGAGTGAGTTCGGCTCTCTATTTCTAGAGAGTCAAATTTCATTCTCTATCTTAATTTTAATTAATAAACTACAAGTTTTTATACATTTTATTTATAAATTCTCTCTTCTGTTAAGTTTTTTTCTTGAAAATAAAGAATATATTCGTTTAATTTAAAGAGTCCATTAGATTTGAATAAAAATTTTGTTTTTTATATTTAGAAATTAATGAAGATATTTTTTATTTATACAAAAGATGTTCTTTCAAATAAAGAGCATTATTGAAGATTAAATGTGTT